CGCCAACTGCGCGGCGATGTCCCCCTCAGGTGGGTTTGTTTCCGGCGGCGTTGCACCAGGCCGGTCGCCGACCACGCAGCGCAACCCTAAACCAGTCTCGGCCTTTCTCCACGGATCTGGCCGATTGTGCCTCCCGTTTAAAACGGGCGACGAAACTGTGAAATCGGCTGCTACGACCAACGAAACCCAGTGCCCCGATAATCGGTCTCACCTGTTGGTCGGCGTCAGACGACGGAGCCGCGGTGTTCTCCGCAGAGCATGTCCTGGTGGAAAAAAACTAAGTGTGAGAGCGCAGGCGTAAGAAGTGACCAAAGGAAGTGGGAGTAGGAAAAATGGCTAGTGGCAGTTTGGCTCCGGAGAGGTCATGGACGTGCGCGGCTCGGCACATGCCACCGTGCAGGCAAGGTTCTGTACACTTGGCATTCATGCCGCTGTCCACGCGAGGCGGCGCATTCTCCGACGTGCCACGGCTCTCGCATGGCCACTACAACGCCGCCGTGACTGTCCATGAAGGTGTTTCGTAAGGCATGCCATGGCAGCAATACAAGGCGCGCCGAGGCTTGTGGCATTGGTCCAGAGTCCATTCATGGCGCACTCGTGCCACCGGTGATTGGCATCACGAGATACTTTGACGCCGACTTTGCGGAGACCGCGGGGTCTGTTTTCCCGCGCAAGAAATAGTCCTCCGATGTTCGACACTTGGACCCGGCATCGCCGTTCGATGTACGCTGCGTGTCCGGCGCCGACATTTATCCTGCCTCCACGTCTGATTCCTGTGCACGTGCCAGGCCGCCGATGCTCGACACCTGGACCCTGCCTCGCCGGTCGATGCTCGCCGACATTTCGGTGCCCACCTGTTCCTCTTCAGCGCTCAATTTGACCGCCGATTTCTTCCACGTAGACTTACCCCGTGACGCCGATTGACGCCGCGTGTCACGCACCGACATTCTCACGGCCCGCGCGTTCTTTTTCGCGCGACGCTTGAGGCGTGGTCGGGTGACGCGTGGACGCCAGTGTGGACGCCGACATTCGAGGGAGGTCGGACATAATCCAGGTCGTCCGTAACCCGCCGCGTGTCGTGCATCCGCGGTCGACGTGTCCTGCTGGCAACTCGCCACGCGTTGAGATATACTCTGTGGGTATTTCTCAGCCCACGGGAATGTCGACGGTCGTTCGGCGTTCCCTAGGGCTCCGTGCCCCAGTCTGCCATACAATTTCCGACGGTCGGACGGCGAGCTGAAATGGAACCCTGTCGGTTCTGTGCGGCGAAAACGGGCGGGGAATGCACGCGTTGAGGTATATCGTGCTGTATTCAGAAGAGGACCGGCCGTTGCCCTCTCCTCCAGGCTTCTATGGGGGGCGGTGGAATGTCCTAGGGTTTTTCTGTTCGTTTCACGGGTTACTGCTGCTCCTTGGGACCAATTCGTTTCGCATCTGTTCGTGGACCGTTTTAAAATATTGCGCACCCTTTTGCCCTTTGTCATCGCACAGCACCGTTTCCAGCTTCCTTGTCGCACTGCAACCTCGCGGGGAAATGCTGTTCCAGTATGTCAGTACGCAGGAGTTCGAGCCTGATTCATCGATCCAGCTTTTGCAGCCAACTCTTGCTGACTACATACATCTACGGCTGTGCGATTTCGCGAGTGAGCGCCGTCGCAATCCGCTTTCTCCGCTGAGCTCTCTCGCCATGTCGGTCGCTGATCTGCTTCGAGATTTCCTGAGCGTCCAGGCGGATCGCGCGCGGATCTACCATGCTTTCGAAGGGTACGATGCCAACCTTCTACCGCGACTCATGCGTTCGCATCACCCCCTCATGTTTTTAGTCTGACTCTCAGATCGTTAAAACCAAATTCCGTTCCAAATTCCGTTCAGCCGAGCCTGACTCACGTCACAACCCATTCCCATCAGCTCAATCAAAATGCCGTTCTTAGCGATCGCTGATCTCACGGTTTTGTATCACGGCGCGTCAATTCCTGATGCGTGTACCGTCTCCGCGCGAGAGCTCAGTCATCGGCGGCCTTCGTGTCGACCAATCACCCGTCTCCGTGTTGCTTTCAGAAGGCTGCGCAGCAAGAGTCAAAACTTCCCGTTCCTCTCTCCCCCTCCCTCGTCTGTGCCACACTCTCCTTCCTTCCGTCCTTCCCCGCAGCGCGTTCGCGGACAACCTCTCAGGAGCCTCGCCGGACTCCGCCTTCCACCGCGCGTGCCAGGCCATAACGGCCGACTTCACGCGCTGCTCGCTCAAGGTACGAGCCGCACGGTAGTTTCCCGCTAGAGCTCTGCGTGTTTACCATCTTGCATCAGAGATTGCGGCTAGAATGCGCTGCGAATGACAACTACGCGCTTTGTCTGATAATTTCGCTGCTGCTTTCTGCGCCTGGGCGGCGTCCCCCTCCGCGCTCCCCCTCCCCTCAGGTGCGGGAGGTGGAGGCACAGCTGCGGGCGGAGGGCGCGGGGCGCGCGGACCTGGCGGACGTTGTGCGGTGCGTGCAGGAGCAGGAGCGGGAGAAGCTGCACCTGGTGAGACTCCATGCGGTGGAGGGTGGTTTAACGGGATGGGATGAGATGGGATGAGGTGGGATGGGATGGGATGGGATGGGATGGGATGGGATGGGATGGGATGGGATGGGAGGGGAGGGGAGGGGAGGGGAGGGGAGGGGAGGGGAGGGGAGGGGAGGGGAGGGGAGGGGAGGGGAGGGGAGGGGAGGGGAGGGGAGGGGAGGGGAGGGGAGGGGAGGGGAGGGGAGGGGAGGGGAGGGGAGGGGAGGGGAGGGGAGGGGAGGGGAGGGGAGGGGAGGGGAGGGGAGGGGAGGGGAGGGGAGGGGAGGGGAGGGGAGGGGAGGGGAGGGGAGGGGAGGGGAGGGGAGGGGAGGGGAGGGGTGGGGTGGGGTGGGGTGGGGTGGGATGGGGTGGGGTGGGGTGGGGTGGGGTGGGGTGGGGTGGGGTGGGGTGGGGTGGGGTGGGGTGAGGTGGGGTGGGGTGGGGTGGGGTGGGGTGGGGTGGGGTAGGGTGGGATGGGATGGGATGGGATGGGATGGGATAGGATGCCATTCTATGCTTCTATCCCCACTGTCCCATGTGCAAACGTGAATGCGCCGTTTCGTCACCAGACAGCCGTCCATCACAACTTGCACGATTTCCTTTGCAACTGCGCCTGCATCTGCACCTGCAACAGCGTGTGACATTCGCCTCGTCTGCCCCTTGCTTCCTCGCCCACCACACATTCTGTGCGTCCCATCCCATCCGATCATGCCATCCCATCCCAACCCATCCCGTCATGCCACCCCACTCCGTTGCATCCTGCCACATCCCATCCTCCTGCCCCATCCCATCACATCATTATGTGACCTGGTCTCTTCCCAGACGGCCGTGCATCACGTGCTGCGCAAGTCTCTCCGTCCGTCCGACCGCCCGCGCTCTGAAATCGTCTCCTTTCTGCCGCAGCGGCACAGAGACCACCCGCAGCCTCTGCAGCAGCCACAGCCACTGGAAGAGCAGCCGGGGCTGCAGCAGAGCGAGGGGCGATGCGCTGGGCATCGTGAGTATGATGGTGCTGCCAGTGGTGGCGCCAATGGTGATGCCGATGGTGATGTGTGGATGGGTGATGGTGAGCGGCAGCAGGGCAGCAAGGAGGAGGCAGGTGTGGGCGGCGGACAGCTGACAGACGATAGAGACACAGAGACTCTCAGGTCCCACGGTGGTGCACAGACACACGAGTGTGTCGGCACGACCAGGTTTGCAGGTGGGGAAGACGCACCCGCAGGTGGTGTTGATGGTGACATTGCGCGTGAGCTGGCGCATGCCTCACTGGTCTCTCCCGATGCCGCTGTTAAAACCTGCAGTATCCCAGCCTCCTCTCAAGCCAGCACGCAAGCCCCCACTGAAGCCCAGTCACATGTGGTCACAGGAGGCCCCGCCACAGAGGCCTCTCCTCCAGGCCATGGCCTTGCAGCCCCGGCCCAGGGGCTGTCAGGCATGCCCGCGCCCCTCCCGGGGCTGTCAGGCATGCCCGCACCCCTCCCGGGGATTCCACCTGAAGCTGCGGCTGCCGCCTTCACTGCTGCACTCAGGGCAGGCGGGTGCGGGTGTGAGCACAGCAGCAGCAGCAGCAGCAGCAGCAGTAGCAACGCTGCTGGTGGTGGCACGGGCAGTGGTGCGGGGGGCCATGGGGAGGAGGACGGGAAGGGCGAGTGGGAGGAGCAGTGTGCGGTGGCGCGTCTAGATGCGGAGTATGATGCAGCGGTGGCGGAGGTGAGGCAGGCCCTGGCGCGCATAGTGGGGGACATCAATGAGGCGCTGGAGGAGGTGCGGTATGAGGTGGCAGAGCTGGTGGGGGAAGCTGACGTGGAGGATGCTGCTTAGAGGGGTGCTGGGGACGGGTGTGGGAAGGGAAGTGATGGTGCTTCTTTAGTTGCCTGGCTTGGAAGTTGAGAGATTAATGAGGCACAGGAGGAGGTGTGGTATGGGGTGGCAGAGCCGGTGGGGGAGTAGGGCTGCCATGGCTTGGCTTGGCTCTCCAATAGTTGATGCGGAGTAGGGTCATGCGGTATCAGTGAGTCGCTGGAGGTACATTGTTGTGACGTATATTCAAATCAAATAGCATCGCCTGTCTGAGAGAGACTTATTGACCGAGTTCAGTACCAATCTCTGGCTTGTTCAGTAAAATGGCTTGTTCCCAGCAAGGCAGGAGCATCACTGTGTGTGATCTACTGGCAAACCAATCAGAGGGTCCTGCAGAACGTTGGAGCCAATCCTATCTGCTGGCAGCATTTGCTTGTTACATTAGTAGGTATATATGTAACATTCGGTTATATTTTTCAAACCTAACTGTTACCGGTACCGGTATGTGTGGTCCAGTCCATAGCTTATTATCCTACGTATGCTCTGCACCTAGACACTGCCCTGTAGCTATCTTGCACCGTATGCTTGCGCTTTCACCGTGCGACCCTGACATCCTCGCTGTGGGCATTGCATGATGACAGGCGCTAGTTGCTAGTTGATCATAGATAGCCACTCGTGATCTGGGGGACGGGATGGGGACGGGATGGGGGCGGGATGGGGACGGGATGGGGGCGGGATGGGGACGGGATGGGGAAAGAATGGAGGAGGTTGGAAACAGCAAGCATGGGATGGGCAAGGGGAGCCGGATCAGGAGTGGGACTTGGCTGTCTGGTAGCAGCAGCACAGGGGTTGAAAAGAGCTCACATAATGCATGCAGCCAACACAAGATGCAACAGCAATCATGCCTGGAGCTGTTGAGACACACAGCCGCATCAGACAGAGGTGACAGCACATCTGGGCGGCTGCCAGCACACCTGGGTGGCTAACTGGACATCTGAACGGCTGACAGCACACGTACCGAGCACTTGTTGTGGCGTGGGTCTGGCGGTGGGGTCTTTGACGAGCATCCAGCAGATGAGGTGCTTGCATGCCGCCGACAGGTTCTCCCACTCGCGCACGCTGTAGAACCCCGCCTCCTTCGCCACCAGCACGCTCGGCCACCCGGGCCTCTCCTCCGGTGCCACCGAGCCTCCGGTGGAGGGTGGGTCGCTGTACGGCGCTCGGCCAATCACCAGCATGAATAAGGACAATCCCCGCACTCCAGACGTCGGATTCCGGGCCGTACGATTGGTCGAAGACCTCGGGAGCCATGTACTCAGACGTGCCGATGACGTCGCGGCACGGCTTCTCAGGGCTGTACAGCGTGGCCACGCCGAAGTCAATCAGCTTCACGGCATCGCTGCTGAAATTGCAGCTGCTCGCGCCCATGCCGGCACTCGTGCCCACGCTGCTGCTCTTGGCGATGTGGCCGGCGCCGGGGCGGGAGGAGGAGGAGAGGGGGAGGTGTGGGCGATGAGGACGTTCTCGGGCTTGACGTCGCGGTGCACGATGCCGTGCGCGTGGCAGTGCTGCAGCGCGCGCATGAGCGACCGGAAGATGCGCGCTGCGGAGGGTTCCGGGAAGTTGCGGTGCAGCTGGATGCGGTCGAGGAGGTCGCCGCCCTCGCAGTGCTCCATGATGATGTGCACGTGCTGTGGGGGTGGGGGGGGAGGAGAGGGGGAGAGGGGGGAAGGGTTGGGGAGGGGGTGTACTTTGAAGATCTACCCATTTGGGGTGTTCTTTTCTTTGTTTCTCTTTTCTGTTTTCTCTTTTCTGTTTTTCGAAACTGGCCTGCGAGCTCATCCTGTACGAGTAACGGCAAGTGGGGCACGGAGGGCTCACCCTCGTGCTCTCGATGGTCTCCTTCATGCGGATGATGTTGGCATGCCCCTTGAGCCGCTCCAGGAACCCCACCTCGCGCCGCACCGCCTCCTTCTCCGCCGCACTCTGTGGCATGGCAAGGGGGGCGAGGGGGGCCACAGGGGAGAGGAGGTGAATGAGGGCGAGGGTGGGAGGGCACATACAAGGGCTGGAAGATGAGGCACGGCAGAGACAGACATGTTGGGGAGCGCATGAGATAATGGGGGAAGGCGGTAAGGTTGCTAGCCTCGCCCTGGACTTCTGTTTGTTTGCTTCTTTGTTTGATAGTTTGTTCGTTGTTCGGAAAAGCAAGGCAGCAGATTTTGCTATTTTTGTGTTGACCTGTGAAGGTTCTTTCAACTCACCAGCAGGCTCCGCTTGCCGATGCTCTTGCAAGCATACGCCTTGCCAGTCCCACGGTGCACGCACTTGCGCACTGTGCCGTACTGCCCGCGCCCCACGGGTGCGCGCCCCACCACGTACACCTCCTTCAGCTCGCGCAGCCCCCTCCCCAGCACCGACCCCCCTGCCCCCCCATGAACAGCGCTGCCCCCGGGTGCTGTGCCTTCTGCTGCTGTGCTTGCCCCGGCCTTGCCTGCTCCTGCTCCTGCTGCTGCGGCTCTTGCGGCTGCTGGTCTTCCCCCTGCTGGTGATCTCCTGCTTCCCTGCCCACCCTGCCTGCGCCCTCCACCTTGAGTTGAGCACCTGGCGTCCGTATGTCCTCTCCTGTCCTCTCGCATGCGGCGGGTGCAGCAGCAGCAACAGCAGCAGCAGCGGCGGCAAAAGCAGCAACAGCAGCAGCAGCATCGCCGGGAAGCTCTGCCGAGCTGCAATCCACGATGCTAGCAGCGTCGGCAGCGGCAGCAGCAGCTAGCAGCAGCGGCCATGGCAGCGTCACAGGCGTCCTGCTGCATCTGCTCCAGGCTGCGCATGCCACAGTGGATCTGCTCCCACCACTCCCATTGCCACCCTCCTCACCGCCCCTCTCATCAATGCCCCTAGCTGCAAACTGCACCTCGCCCTGCTCCCTTGCTCTGTACTCCTTCTCGCCACGCTCCTTGGCACTGCCACTGCCACGCACCAGCCTTGCTCCGCTGCTGCTGCTGCCCTTGCTCCTGCTCCCAACCACTTGCACCACACCCTGCCCACACATACCGTTTTGCACACCCATGGCATCTGGCTTCAGAAAGGTCTCAGCGGAGGGAGTGGGCTCAGAGGGGCCATCCGGGTACAGCGGGCCGGTGCGCAGGTCAAAGTCAAAGTCAGACGACAGGAACCCAAACCGCTCCCGCCCACCCCTGAAGCCACCAGCACTCGATCCCGTGGCCCCACTGCCAGCAGCACCGCCGAAAACTGCAGCAGCAGCAGCCGCTGCAGCAGCCAGCAACTGCAGAAGCAGCGCCAATCGCCTCCTCACCGCATCCCTCTCGCCCCCTCTCGCCCCTCTCAGGGCCTGCCTTCTGTCTCCTTTCTCCGTGCTGCCAAAGGCCACAGCTCTCGCCTCTCACCCGCCCCTCGATCCCCACCTCCCACGCGCTCCAAGCTCCCCGAACGCGCCCTCGCGGTATTCCACCTCGTCTGAGCCCACGGAACGACCCGTGCCAGACTGGCTGACAGCAGGTCGCTGTGAGCCCAGCGAACCAGAGGGGGGGCGCGGAATCGCCCGCCTTCCTCGAGAAAAGCAGGTCCCGGTCGGATCGCCCTTGGGAAACAGCGCGTGCTCCCCGCTGCTCGCGCCTTCTGGCTTGCAGAGTGGAGCCTGTGGCATCTGCCGCCCGCCTCCCGTGCACTTAAGAAGATGTCTCCGCCGCCCAGGGAGTCTCTCATGCCGCCTTTGTCCCCTTGTCGGATAGAGATCCCTTGATCCCGACAACCCTTCCCCGCCAGAGAACATGCGCCCGTGTCCTCCATAAGAGCTGCTCCGATGAAGGCTCTCTCCCTGCTGCCGCCACTGCCACTTACCACTTGCCGGCCACTCGGTGGCGGGAGGCAGAGGAGGAGGAGGAGGAGGCAGCAAGGGCCGACCCGGTGTCACGAGAGGGAGTGATGGAGAGGGAAGGGGAGGGGGAGGGGAGGTGGATGGGGAGGAGGAAGGGGCGAGAGAGGGGTTGAGCCAGGCGGGGTCATCCCGAAGGAGAGGTCGCGCGAGGAGCGGCGCTCCTTGAAGCTTGAGCCCCTGCGCTCGCCCAGCAGCTTGCGCCCTGCTGCTGCTGCGCGGGGGGGAGCGGGGCTGCTGACGGGAGTAAGGGTGGACGCGGAGGCATGCACCAGGCTGATGCCTGTTGCTGCTGTGGCTCATGCCGCTGCTGTTCTCAAGGGCTGTGAATGGGTTATGTGGTGCGAGATCGGAGGATGGTCGGTCAGAGGCGAGGAGTTCGAAGGATCCGGAGAGAGGGAGGTGTGGGTCAAGTGTGACGCGGAGGGTGGGTGAGGGAGGGTGAGGTCAAGGTGCAGTGCTCGTGGCTGGTGTGCGGGGCGGAGGTCTCAAACTGCCCGAGTGCGGTGAGAGAAGTTCGAACTGGGTGGTATGCGGTTGCAAGCCGGTCCAGGGCAGGGCTGGAGGCACCGGAGGAGTTAGCAGGGGAGGGCAGGAAGGGCTGGAAGTAATCCATGGGGGCATCGAAGAAGAGGTCTGACACAAACCGCCTGTGCCCCGGTGCACCTGCTCCCCCCGCCCTCCTGTCGCGCGCGGTTACCAGCATGACCAGCGTTACCCAGCGTAACCATCCCGATCCACAGCACGACGACCAGCAGCAGCCAGCGTGGTGGTCAACAGGCGCAAGCAAACCAGCATCCCCTTCCATCCCATCACCAGCAGCAGCACCAGCAGCAGCAGCAGGAACAGCGCCGCCCCAGTAGCAACACTTGGGAGCAGGCGGTCAGGGGGGAAGAGGTGGGGGTGGGGGTGAGGGCGGAACAGCAGCTCGCCATCCCAGTCCCGCAGGTCCTCGTCAAACTCTCCCCGCGTCCCTCGCCGGCCCCATGGACCACGACAGCCCCATGCCCATCCCCTCCGCGCCCGCCAGTGCGGCTCCTGCTCCTGCTCGGCCCCCTCGACCCGCCTCCCCTTCCCCTCTGCTCCCCCTCCCTTTCCAAACGCCCTCCCCCCCTCCCCCCTCGCACTCTCCCCTGCCCCTCTCGGTTTCTGCCTCGCCATCCGCGTCCCCTCGTCAACCAAGCTGCCAGTGCTTGCCACGCGGGAGAGCACCTGGGGCTCGGAGACCTGCTCCTCACGTTCAGGCTCGGCGCGTGGCCGAAGCTGGCGTTCAGGTTCGGGCTTGTACCCAGGGCTGATCTGTTGGCTCGGTTGGGGCTGCGCGAGAGCATGGGAGGAGACGGGGAGGGCGAGAGGCCGGTCAGAGGAGAGGGGAAGAGGAGGGAGGTGCAGGTGGGGAGGGGAGTACGAGGGCCAGAGCGGGAGAGAAGGAGGCCTTGAACGGCGTTGAAGCTGAGTGGCCGCTGCAAGAACCGCCTGCTGCTGCCGCCTAGACTGCTGCCCGTGCTGCCTGTGCCAGCAGAGCTTGACTGACCCGGCCCTCCCCCTCCCGCTCTCGCTTCTCCTGCTTCCCCACCCCCTCCTGTGCTGCAGAGACCACCGGTGGTGTTGATGCTCCTGCTGCGGTGGTGCCCTCCCCTCCTCGTTCCGCCACCCTCCCCCACATTGGCACCGTCACTCACACCACCAGCTCCTACCCTCATCCCTGACCCAGCAGCAGCACCATCAACAGCGCCAGCAGCAGTGGGCACAGCAAAGGTGGGGCCCATGTGGTAACTGCGTGACCGCGCATGCATGCTGCCGCGAGAGGCGTTGGGGGAGCGGGTGGTGGGCGCAGGGGAGCGGGAGCGCGCGGAGGGGGAGGGGGAGCGCCGGGCAGAGGGGGACGGGGATTGATTGGAGGGGGAGTGCGCAAATGCGGAGCGGGCGGAGGGGGATGGGGGGAGGGGGGAGCGAGAACGGGGGTTACGGGAGGAGTGGGAGAGAGATGCGTGTGAGAAGGACGAGGCCCGATGGTGTCTGCCTTGCCCTGCTCCCGCGTCCCCCCTCCCCTGTGCAGATCGTGACAGCGTGGCAAGAGTTGCCTCCAGGTCAGCAAGAGACACGTCACCCCCCATATTGGAAGCCGTAACAGGTGGCGCAATGATAATTCCACCAGCAGCAGCAGCAGCAGCAGCAGGAAGAACATCCCCATCACCAACGGCAGAAGGATCAGCTCCACTTGTAGCAGCTACAGCCGCCACCCGGTTCTCTACCCCCATGTCCCTTGATCCCCATATCTCTCTCTCTCGTCCCTCTTGCTCCCACCCTCTCCTTCTTCCTCTTTGCCACCCCCTCCCTCCCCTCTCCTCCCACACTCCCTCATCCCCTCCGCCTTCACCCCGCAGACCGTGAGGTTCGGACCCAGAGCCTGAGCTTCCAGGCTCGGGATCAAAGGCGAGGTTTGGTGGAAGGTGCGGAGAGCTTTCGCAAGAAAGGGATGGTGTGAGGAGGAAGGTGGGATTTGGGAGAGCGATGGGGTTGATGATGATGATGGTGATTGTGGTGGGTGTGATTACAGGGAGGTGTCGCTGGGGAAGGCGGCATTTGAAGAAAAGGGGTAGATGGGCAGGATGAAGAAGCGGATCTTCCATGCCTCGCCCCTCCAACTTTCCCACTGCCACGTGGCGTCCGCTCTTTGCTCTTGCCTCTCATTGGCTGACCGTCCTGCTGCACGCCCAGAGTTGAGATAAAGGAATCGAGACACGCCAAATCCAGCTCAGGAGGGGGATGGTGGGATACGCGGCTGGGAGGGATGCTTTGGAAGTTGCCTTGACAGTCCTGACTCGGCAAACTTTCGCAGTTACTGTAGTTGCTGTAACTGCTGCTGGCGACGCCGCTGCACTCGCCAGCCCAGCTACCTTCTAAAGTTTCGCCAATCTCGTCCATCGCGATGCCCTTCCCTTTCGCAGACGCACTCACACGCCTTCGCTCACTCGCGCTGCTGTTACTGTCGCTGCTGCTCTTGCTACTTCTCGGCGATTTTTCCCCTCTCGTGGAACCTTCTCCACGCCTTGCCTTCCAATTAGAAGCCGCGTCACGCAAACTGAAAAACCCACCACTTTCGGTGTTTCCGTCTCCGTCTCCATCACCGTCACCGTTACCGTCACCGTTTCCGTATAAGTCGTCATCGTCACAGTGACTGCCAGAAGTCGAAGATGGTAGCCACTCGCCGCCATCCCTCGACACGACAGCCGCCGCGATTAACGGAGGCGGAGGGAGGGCTGAAGGAGAAAACGGTCCGGAACGCGATTCTATTTTCGAAAACGAGCTGCTCCCCCTGTTTGACGGAAACAGAAGTGACTTTGACTGAGCTTTCGACTCTGACTGAATCTTCGATCCTGACTGAGATTTTGATTTTGGAAACGACCGGTTATTGACGGCCGACGGTTGACTGGCGTAAACCCTCGTTGTACCGATATCGAGGGTTTCGCGATTATCCTGGTCCGCGACATCGCTGGCTTCGTGGCTCACATGAATCACTGCGTGGGAAGCTGATCCAACGGCGGTTAAACCGCTCGCAGTAGTTCTCGCCGCGTCTCCAGAATTTTCTCCTGAAGAAAACCCTGAATTCATTGCGGGTGCTGACGAAGGCGGTGGATGCGCCACTAGCTCACCAGCGTCGCCAGCTTTATTCATATTTCTCTCTAGGTTCGGACCGCCAGGAACCCCAGCAAATATTAACTCTGCCGACGAAGTTTCATCAATGGTCGGCGACGCTGGCGACGACAAGTTGGGCGTAAGCGACTCGGCTGCGTGCGATAGCGACGATGGTAGGGGCGACGGGTGCACAACGACGTCGTTCGAGGAACAGATCCTTTGCGATCGCGACCCTCTCTGCAAGAGCACACTCTTCTGCGACGCCGCAGTTTCAGCGGGATCGGCGCCGACAGACAAGGAGGAGCTCCTCCCGGCCACTCTGCTCCACCCGCATCTTTCGGCCACCGCCTCCGTCGCCGCACCGCCAGGAGCGTCGCGATCCGACTCCGATTCGGATTCGACGGGCGTGGCGGCGGCTGCTGCGGCGGGTGGGGTCATGGAAAAGCCGGGGAAGTCGTCGACCTCCCAAGCCGACGGGTTACCTAATTTCGTTCTGCCAGGTCGTTCGTCGCCATCTTCGCCGCCGCTGTACTCCTCGTCGCGCGCGTACGATCCGTCGCGCGGAAAGATGCATTCGTTCTGAGAGGATCCCAGGTTGCTACGACCCACCCTGTTCCCTTCCTCCCACGAGCCTTCCTCCTCGTTCCCGCTGCCGAAACCTCCTGCCGTGCTGCTGTCGTTGCTAGTAGCGTCACCGCTGGCGCTGCGACTGTCGTCTGTCGTTGTCGTCCCGCGAAGTCCGGGCATCCGCATCAGCTCAAAGCTCGTGAGCGTTTCGTCGGTGTCGTTTGCATCAAGCTGGTTAGCCGACTCCGCTTCGCCCCGCTTCCGCTCCTGTCTCCGCGCCGCCGCCTCCCCCGCAACAGCGTCTCGCGCGAGTTGTGAGGCTTTGCCAGCCGTCCCACGAGGCCGCGCCCCTGTCGATCGGGGGAGGCGTTTGGCGGAACCCGGCTTGTCGAGCGAAAGAGCCGTGGAGAGAGAGATGGCGATTCGCGCGTTATCGAGGCGGTGACAGCGTCGGCGTTGCTGCTACTCTTGCGCAACGCCAGGGCGGACGCTCGCGACACCTGACCTGTCGCCGCGAGCCCACACATTGTCAGACTCTCGTTGCTGCGAC